ATGAGGAAAATACCTAAGGTTCCTACTGCTAAAATTCTCTCTAATCAAGAGCTAGTCAACTTGCATCCTCCTGATAGCTGCTCTAGCTACTGCTTCTGAAGTCTTTCATTTCAAAGAGCAGTTTTTAAATCTGATTATGGTGAGAATAAACACAGCTCTTCTGTTAGGCCTTATTATTTGTATGTGTGATTTTGCGAAGGCCCCATGTTAGGCATCTTTTCCGTTCTCTCTCTGGTTATCCGATTGGTGCTTTCTTGGATCTGCCGCTTCCTTAGCTGCTTTGAAAAATGCTTGAAAACCTCTTTGACCAGTGTGTTTTAACAGCCTGGTTTCTCCCAGCGTAGACCTTTCTTTCACCACCACCGGACTCTTCCCGTTCGCCACTTTCTTGACCCTTACATGTCTCGTGGGATCTGTCACCTTCGTGTCATGCAGGAGAGGTTAAAGTGGCCGCTTTGGTCACTCGTATTGAGCTGTTTGCAGCACCAGGCAACAACCATCAGCTGCGTCTTGGTCTTAGTTCTTCTCATCTCTAGGCTGCCCTGTTGGCCATTAAACATTGCTGCTCCCCAGCTGCTTCCCTACGATGTATGTTGTAGCCTCTCAGCCTATAGGTAGCTCTCTGACTTCTTCAAAACTGCTCTTCTGCAGTTAATATGTTATTTCAACGAGTTAATAATTCTTCCCAGTCCTCTGAAATTCTAGAGTTCATTGCCTAACCACAAATGGTCATTCTCCCATAAGTTGTGTTTGATTCCATTGTGTTGTAAGAGAAAGCCAGAAGAAGCAAAATACTGTGCAGCTCATTTTTAACATAATTCAGATTTTTATATAAAAAGGGGCACTGTCTTTGTAGGCAGCTTTTTAAATGTTAAGGAATTTATAATTTTAGTAGAGAGTAGTTTAATATGTTGTCCTCCATCTTTGGGGAATAACGTTCTTCTGCTCAGAATATTATTCACATAGTTTAACTTTGTTTCTAGTAAGAAACTAATGTTATAACATAAACTGTGCTCAGGTCTTGAAGGATTGTCCATTTCTGTGGATGTGCAAGTTACTTGCATCAGGGTGTTGGGCACTAGGATTAATCCTACCTGTGTTGAACTCTACATCCTACTTGTTAATATCTCTGCAACAACTTTGGTATTTTGTTCAGATTTCCTTGGTGACCTTTGACTAGCTGTTTGCCGTGGATCCATCAACGCTCTGTGTTTTCAGAGAATAAGAAAGTATAAAAGCCCCATGATTTCATTGTAACCAGTAAATTGAGACTGCTCTGTGTTCCAATGCCAAGTCAAGAGAAAAGAGTCAAAATAGAGTTTTGCTGCTGGAACATGTTAACTAAATCTGCCAGAAATAATTCATTGCAATAGAGAAAAACTCATGCAACTGATTTTAAAACTAAGCATAAATGCAGGTATAAAACAAGTTAGCGAAGGCCTGGATGAGGCCTTGCAGGTGGGGTGAGAGAGGCCACTGGCTTTTTGGAGAAGCAGGGGACTTTCCTAAGGCCACACGGTACGTGTGAAGTCCTAAAGCGAGTTGAACCATAATGCTTCTCCAAAAGAGAAACTCGTCAGCAGCAAAAGGTTTAATTTCTTTTTACTGTCCCTTTAGGTTTGGGGATTTGGGAGGGTTTTGCTGGTATCAATAAAATGTGCCATTTTACTGGAGGCAGATATGAAGCAAACCTCCTCAGGCCGCCAGCTGAGACTTGTGAATCAGTATTTCACCACTGACCTTTTTATGCCTCTTGTTTCCATTCCAGTTCTGGAGATCTGATGATTAACCCAATGAAGTAATGTTTAATCATTTAACCTCCTTTGCCTATATTGCAGCACTCACAGGAAATCTGTTTCCCAACCGAAAAAACAAATCATCTTTGATAGGGACATAGTGAACAAAAGTATCCTGAAGTGTTGTAGAGAGTGAATCACATTAGCTGAGAGTCGAGTCCAGTCTAAATACTTTAATTTTGGGGGAATATGTTTTGCCTGTAAGTAGCTGAACTTTTATGTCTTTTTTAGCTCTAAATTGTGAAAGTTATTTGATTTCAAACACTGTAAAAAACAGAGAAAGGATTGTTCCCTATGTAGGCTTTATAACAGAAAGATTGCATTGTGAAATAGGTAAAAGTTGTGAAACTGGTTGTATTCTCCGAGAAATGAAACTTTTAAGGGTTTTTTTTATTATTATTGCAGATGTCTTAAAGATTTGATGAACAAAATTTAAGGAAGCATTCAAATATCAGCCTTTTGGAGCTTGGTTTCATTAAATAAATGTAAAGGCTGCAAATGCATAGCTCTATTGCAACCCTGATCTATATATTGCAATGCAAATTATTTCTAGCTGTGATTATATTAAGTTGTAGAAAACAGTGGGGGGGGAGCTAAATTTATCTCTTATTTAGAAAATTTTAAAAAGGAAGTTTAGAAGTTCTTGACTAAGACTATAGCTGTGTTTTCCATAGAATGCTTTGTAATGGATGGTGGTTGTTTAAAAAAAAATAAAAAGGAAAAAAGTTATGAAGTAATAAGGTTTTTTTTTTTTAAAAAAAAAAAGCTCAACAATTTTAAATCAACTTTTGTTAATTTTTTTCAGTATTTTTGTTATTGTTTTTTAAATAAAAATGTATGTTTTTAGCTGGAGGTAACAAAAGGGCTCTAAGGCAGCCCAGAGTTTTGCAGCAATCTAGAAATTTGTATGATGGGAACTTTGTTCTCAAGAATCTGAGAAAAAAAAAGATACGCTGTTCTTAGAGTAAGCTAACACAGTCTTTATATATAATGATATATATTTTTAAACTAGTTTTGCTGAAAGTGCTATTTTGTAGATCATTTTCTGCAGAGTTTGTTTCCAATTCCAGCTTGTGGACATAAAACAGCAGAATGTTAGTAGTACAGTCTTTAAGATCATATAATAATATGTTAAAATTTCAGTAGAAACTATTTCCCTGGAAAGGCCCACTTCATAGACCTATTTGGATAATTGGATTATAGTGTTTTATTTTAAAGATATTTTAAAATGAGATTTATGGAGCTGTGTAAAATTCTTGATTGGCTTATAAAAGTGCAAATATTGTTCTAACCCCATGAGCATTGTGAAATGGTGAGCAAAATAGGAACTGAAAATATCAGGGTCATTCAGCTCTGCTCTGGAGTACAGGGGGGCATCTTATGAAAATCCTGTACAGAAGGCACTGACTTTCTCAGTTCACCTTTTCAAAGAAAAAAATCTTTTGCTAAAAGGGCAATTTTGCTGTTACATTTCAGTAAATTTGTTGCTTTTAGGTTATATAGTACAGAAACTTAAAAATGTATTTCTACTATTGTATTTGGTTAAGGAAAAAGAACATCTGTTATTTCCTTGGTGTGCTCCGTTTTATTTCCTTTGGTGATGGATGTGGGATCACACTGTTTAAAGAAACTTGCTTCCCTACAGCTCATGTCTTAAATCCTCAGTGGAACTGAGCAGAAGTTATTTTTTTCTTTTGTTTGGGGGGTGAAGGAGACCCGTATTTAGTGCTGATATATTAACTTGTTTCATATTTGTTTAGTTACTTGGAAATAATGTTTGAGGGAAATTCAGTTTGAGAAAAAACTGCCCTCGATTGTGCAAGGCTTTTGGGCTCAGTTCTCTGATAAATTATCGCATTTTGTTAGAAATAATTTCTGTCAAAATGTGCTTTTGCAATTCAATAGCATGAAAAAAATCACACTTCAGCCACCAGGTAGATGTGTTTTAGACCTGTTCCTACTAAAATAAGCTCAGTGTTTGATTTCAGCCTCGCTGGGAATGAGATTTAGTCACTCGTGTGTGAGAATACAAACAGAAAAATATCAGGAACAAGTTTTCAACACAGAATAAATAGTTCACCTATTCTGCGATGAGACATGCAGGAGTCGGATCATGAAATCCTGAGGTTTCCCTCCTGTATAAAGTTAGCAAATTGGTCCTTTTAATGAAATTTTTAAAAACAGAAATATAAAACTATTAGCTGTGCCATTTTAAGATGTAGGAAATCTCACTTACTTGTCTTTTTTCTTTAAGTTATAGTATTTATTTGTTGTTTTTTAATATGATGTACAATAAATAGTATTTCTGTAAGAATTGTGGGGGTGTTTTTTGTTTTGTTTTCTCTTTGTGAGTTTGTTACACTTTTGCTTTTAAAGCATTATAATGGAGATAACTTACTACATGGAATAGGACTGTAACAAACATAGTAAATGGCCATATGACCTTTTTTATTGATCTGCCATTAAAAGTTATGCCAGTTCTGTGGTTTAGAATTTAAATAATATACAAAAATTTTATCAAGTAATTGGAATTCACTTGCATTGTTATGTAGTACAGAAGATTTCAACAGAATTGTAGCAAAGTTAAGATTATGTAGATTGATTTATGTTGGATCATCTTGAAGTTATCTGTTGTGGAATTTAGAATTTCATTAATTGATAAAGGTATTTCCTGGTGAAATCCATTGTAGAGAAAACCTGGATGTAGCCTATTTTGATGAAGATCTTGGGCGTGAGAGGCAAGATCGTAGGATATTATTATATTCTGGGTTTGCCTTCTTGGAAAGTACCTTTTTATCATTGTAGGAGGTCTGAAGGAATTTGAGGATTAAGGTAGTAATAGAATAAGGTAGTAGCAGCTTCAGAAATCCAAAAGTGTGGGGAGAAAAGTGGTAGAAAAAAACTTTTCCAAAGTGGAGTGAACTTAGAACGACTTGCAGAGTTTTGAAGAATGAAGACGCTGAGGAAAAATAAACTCAGTATATGTGAGCAGTCGTATTTTGTTCATTGAGCATTTTGAATTTCTCCCTCCTCCCTCAAGCAGTAAAGTTTCAAGTTCACCTTTTTGTTTCAAAAATTCCCCCAGTTGCTGGTGAGGAGGTCCCAAAGCATGCGGGGGAGAGCTGAGATATTGGAGTCCTACAAGCTTCCAGGTGTGTCCATTTGGGTTTTGCCTTGTTAATGACTTTGTTTTCTTGTTTGCAGGATTTTGCTTCCCGGGCTAAACTGGCTGTCCAGAACCTGGTGCAGAAAGTTGGGTTCTTCGGCATTTTGGCCTGTGCTTCAGTAAGTTCATTTCTATAGCAGACAGGTTTGTAATTGCAGGCTGAATGTGTCACAGTTAAATCAGGACTCTAAGCAAGGGCTTGGCCTTGTTGGAGCTCGTGTGGCTCTGCAGGCCTCGTCCACTGGTTCTGCCTTCCCCAGGGTGCTCAGGGGAGCCTCAAAGTGCCATAGCAGGGAGAAACTCCAGCCCTAGATTCGGACCCAACACACTTTGCATAAAAGCAGAGATTATTATTATCCTTTCCTTAAACTGTACTGCTGCAGTTCTAGACTCTAGTTCTTGTTAAAGAATAATGGGTTTGAAACAGTACTGTTTGCTTTATAACTGTCAGGAAAGAATACTCAGCAAGTGATTCCTTGAGTGCCTGGAAGGGCGTTTTCCAAAAGCCAGACTTCCTGGGTTTCCTAGACTGGCTTTTTTTCCAAATTTCCACAGATTGAAGAGTGGGAAACTACCTGTACAATTTAGGATTTCCATAGAAGTTCTTCTGACTCGAGGGATATCTTTGGGTCAGAGCCAGAGGGAGCCCAAAGTGTGGAAACCAGTTTCAGAGTTGAGTCTAAAAAGGAATGCAAACTCTTTGTGACTTTTTCTCCCTAAGCAAGAGTTGATCCAAGCATCTCCACTAATGCTATTTTAGGGTTTTAGGTAGGCCGGATGCTCTTCAGAGTCAAAAAGTACTGAAGCACTTGAGGTTTAGATTTCTGTCTGGAAGGTTAACAAAAAGTGGCAGAATGATGTGGCTTCGTGTTCTCTGCCACGCACACAAACGCACAGAAATCTGCAGCAGAGGGGGAGTCGTGGGTCCCCAGTGATCCCCTTCCTGTGCTCCAGCCACAGCCGTGAGCCAGCTGCTCCCCTGTGATGCCACCTGGGCCTAGCAGCTCCGTTTCCTATGCAGGAGACAGCCCAAAGTTACCTATTTCTCAAACGTAAGCAGCCTGTGTGTGCTTAGATTAATTCGATGAGCTACAACTGTGTGTACGGATCTTTTGGACAGTCTTCCTGCTTGGAGTGGAGCTGTAGCTCCCTGAGCTCTTTGTCTATCCGGCCAGTAAGTGCTCGGCCTGCTCGGGCGCCGCTCTGACTCATTCCCTCACAGTCACCACCTTGTGAGGCATCGCCGGGCGAGCTCGTCCGTCTGGTTTCGGAGCAGGACCGTGGGGCTGTGTACACTCCTCGGCCTTCCTGCTTAGTAATGCTTAACCGTTTGCTTAACTTCATTCCCACCTGGTGCCCTGCTCTCAGCGTGGCCGGAGCAGCTCCCTCCACTCAGGTGGGCCGGGCCGGGCCACCGCCAACCCGCCGGGGACGGGCAAGGAGTTGGACATGTCCCATGTTTGCAAAATGACCACAAAGCAGAAGCACGGGAGAGGCAATGAACAAAAACAGGGCTTCAGAACTTCCCTCCTTGTAATTGCCACTTTAGTTTGGGATTTTAAATGGTATTTTGGCTGTGTTTGCAGGAAGAGAGGGAAGAAGAACTAGACTGTGAAGTGCTACTAAATGTCCCACTGCAATTTGGTTGTAGCGTTGAAGCCACTGCTTGATAGGTAGAGAACTCCAATCTCATTGAATTTAAGCCTTTGCAAATTCATCCAAGGCAGTTACCTGGCTGTAGCACTTCTTAAAGGCAGAAGGAAAGCCTTTTTTTTTTTTTTTCCTTTTTTTTTTTTTTCGTTTTCCTAATTCTTGTGTAACAGCAGCTCTGGGGAAGGATAGACAGAATTAGCCCTCTGTGAGAGCCCAGTGGAGCCCCACGAGAATTTGCCCTGCTGCCTGTGTGGGCATTTTTGGCACCTCTCACTAGCGTGTCTGTGATTATTACTTTTTTAATTAGTTTTAACCCTCTTTGACCTGCTAATATATACTTATACCCTAAGGTGGACATGTTAAGTTTCTGTTTTGTTTTGTTTTGATGTGATACCCACAATTGCCCCCTCAACAGTGATACTAACAGCATATTTTAATTACTGTACCTTACCAAACAACAACAAGAAAAGCCCAGAACATGTTTAATACCTAGAGCAGACTGGGCTCAGAAGAGCCAGGCTCCCTAGCTGTGGCTTAAGTAAATCATTGACTTGCCCAAGACAGCTGCCAGAGGTAAGGAGTCATTTCAGCTGAAGCAGGACATGGTTCGAGACCGTTTCCGATTTCTTCCTATGCAGGTGGTGTTCTGGTGCTCATAAATTTGAATTGCTGCCTTGTAACAGTTCAGCACAGCATAACCCTCATAAGCCTTCTCAGAGATTTCCATTCAGTTGCAAAGAGTTTCTTTTTCCTTTTTTCCTTTTTTTTTAGGCTCTTTAAATATCTACACTATTTATTTGTTTGAGTAAGAAAGCAACATAGCTCCAGATATTAGCAGGGTAATATTCTGCTACTCTAAATTAAATATATCCCTCATGTTTACAGACAGTCTGCCCTGTACTGCACGCAGAGTGTGAAAGGTTGGAATTTTGATATTTTCTTGGTTTAATTTCAAAAATATTTTACAGATAGTATCACAATACCAAACGTCAAGCCAAGGGTTTAACAATAATCTTTTTTTTTTAATTTTAAATTGAATGCACATGCTTAATAAAATCTAATCAGTGCTTTTAAACTGGATACATATGACTATAAATGCTAGTTTCTAATGCACTTTTTCAGATGGAAATCATTGGGGATCGCTCTGAACACTGGCTTCCAGGAGTGATGTGCTTGTCAGTGAGAAAATTTGATAAATCACTGAAAATGGCTTTGCTGTGGTTTCCATGCATTGCACATGGAAAACTTCTTTTTCTGTCAGCTTTTTTATAATCCAGGAGTAAGGACCATCAGAATGGAATTGTCTGGGACAGTGTCTAGCTGAATCCCTGAGATTTAAGTTATGTGGTGTAACACTAACATTTTTGTAAGTATTGAGACACGAGAGTTTTGGACAAAGGTTAATAAGCGGAAAATGCTCATTTTTCAAAGTATTTAATGTTCCTGTTCGTCTGGATTAAATGCTTCCATTCATGAACTTCTTTCCCTTGCACTTCCTAGATTCCAAACCCGCTGTTCGACCTGGCCGGCATAACATGCGGACACTTTCTGGTTCCCTTCTGGACCTTCTTTGGTGCGACCCTCATTGGGAAGGCAGTCATTAAAATGCACATCCAGGCAAGTAAAGGCATTTTTTTTTTTGCAGAGCCTCTCACACCGCGGCACTCTGTGTTAGATTCTGGAGTCTCCCTTCCTGACCTGCACTAATGGAAATTAATTTGGTGCAAAGGATTTACAATAAAGGATCTGCTAGGCCTCTTATGCTCCAAACTCAGGCAACTGAATAATTTATAGCAATGAGCTAATGAGCTCGCTGCCTACACCACTCAGGAAATTGGTGGTTAGCCAAGTTATTTACCTACGGTTTTTACCAGACTGAAAGGACTTTGTACTAATAATGAACTTGCCTTTTTGGTAACAAGTACTCATTTCGAAGAGCGCTGCAGCTAGCCTTTACCAGCTAAGCAATACTCTTAAATGTTCTTTTTTATTGCAGTTTAATGTGTAAGGAAAAACCCAGGCCTTTCAGGTCCTGCTGTCTGCAGAAAGCAGTCTGAGAGGGTTAGTCTGTTGGTCATAACTTTTGAGTATGGTTAGTAATTTTTGGTGTCCTTGATATGGGATATTTTGTGAGGGCCTGATTTCAGAGAGGGTCTGTTCAGTCCTTGTCACTAACTTAAATGCATCACCATTTTGTCCGGCACAGGATGAGGGACTGATTCCCTGGAGATGTTCTCCTGGTGGCAGTGTGGTTAGATGGGGCTATCATGAACTGCATCACTTGATTTGTAATAATTAGAATCAGTGTTCTCAGCTGGGGCTTTTTTTTTTTTTTTCTTTTTTTTAAGTGTCTGCATAGTGCTGATGCAGTAACTGTAGCCAGGCTGCTTGGAAATGTTTGCTGTCACTACATTAAAATAGCAGAAGCTGGCAGAAGTATAAAATTACTCTTCTAGTACCCTCCCCAAGCTGCTTAAAAGTCTCTTCCCTGTATAGGAAACTTTAAACTTCAACTTTTTGTTTCCCCCCATCTTTTCGTAAATAGTTATTTTACTCTACACAGTGTTGAAATGGAAGATGAAGGGGCTTCAGGAATTGTTTCATGTATTGTGATAGAAATGCTTTTTCTTCACACAGTTTTCTACTGCTTGAACACTTCTGTTTTTAAATAGGCGTAAAGACAGAATTTGTTCTGGCAGTGGAGAAGAGACTCAAGTGACTAGTGCTTGCGTAGTATTCTCTGTATTTTATTTGCCTTGTTTAGCTAGGGAAGTGTTTGATCTGTAACTTACAGTGCTCTTTGCTCCAAAGTGACAAGCAACAAATATTTCCTGATGTCTTGTACAGCTGGTAAAAGTTCATTTTATATATATATTTAGCTAAGAGATTTTTGTTTTCTATGGTGTTCTACTTCATAGGGTTGTGCAGTAACCTCGATTTTTGTAGTGATCTTGCTGTTATTTGGCATTTGGGAAACCTAACGGCTGTGCAAAAGGCTCCTAATGGAATCTCCTCTAGACAGGAAGCCAGTGACTCTGGTGTAGTGGCCATCCCAGAGCTGCTTTTAACTGGCCTCTTCCTCTGGACCACAAAATCATTCTGTGGAGCTCTAGTCACATCCCTTATTCCCAGACTAGTGAATGCTCTTCTCATTAGGTCATGTTTAAATTCTTTTAAGGAGACTATGGGAACTGTATCTGCGTGTATCTACACATGGTCTTGCTCACTCTTTGTGAATGAGCAAGCTATTGAACGTGACAAAAGAACTAGCAAAAGCTTTTTTTAATAAAGTGCTACCACTTTTATAAGTGAAGTGAATGGTAAAATTACAGGCATTGCATTTCCATGCAGAGTCAGTCATGTGTTAGAATTGTCTTAGATTAAAATTACTCCGTTTCAAGTATTCTATTGCATTAGAGCAATAATAAGTGATGATTAAGTGCTATATTTTTTTAACAGATACTCAAAGGCTCTTCTTCACCAAGAATTTCGATGTTACGCTTCTCTCTGAAGCACATAAACTAGGGGCTAAAAGATTTATTATTTTCACTTTTGTGATCTTTAAGTACATGTGCTTATGTGTAAGGGGATGTGAATTCTTCTGCACAGTGATGACTCTTTTTCCATTATAACATTGTTGACGGAGTAAAGTGACCTTGAGCTTCTGGGAATTTAGGTTTGGGGAGGATGCGAATGGTTAGCAACACAAGCTACAAAAACATTGCAAGAAATGAAATCTATGAGGAAATGGGATAATAGAGTAAGTAGATTCTTCTGCCTCTTGAAAATAGTATTAAAAAAGGACTTTGAAAGAAAAGTAAAGGGAAAACTATCTGTAAGTGCAGGAGGATCTGTTGAAGTGGAAAAGAACATTAGTTGTCTTTGCTTCCCTTTTGATCAGACATTTCTCTAACTGATTTTTTTCCTTCCAACAGAAACTTTTCGTTATTATAACATTCAGCAAACATATAGTGGAGCAGATGGTTTCCCTAATCGGGTGAGTAATTCTTTAACACAGTAATACCTTCACTCATTATGTGGAAAAATACTGTAGGAGTTGAATCAGATGTGCTGAAAATCATGCTCTGCTTTTTAAGTGCAAGCTTTGGTCAACAGCTAATTTGCGACTCACCTCAAAGGCTTGAAGTACTTTGAGAAATGTAATAGCACAGAAGGTCAGATGTCCTGAGTATATAATACCTATGTTTAGCTTTCGCCCAGAAAGATGATAAACTATTCCAATAATAGGTTGCAACATTTTTAGCTGCAAATAGATTGTTTTTATTCACTTTCTTCAATGCTGCATTGTGATCCTGTGACAAAAAAGAGAGAATTGTTGTAATTTATGCAGTGTCCAAAGTGGCTGATAAATGTTTTCCATGATTTGACTTTATACACTTAACCTCATACACTTAAAATATGTAATGTCTGATAAAGTGTCAGAATTAAAAGCTTAGTGTGTAGGATGGAATCTCCATCCTACTGAGTTTTTTTTAATAAGCAAAATCAGTCTTTGAGGCTAAACTATTCCTATTTTGAGAAAACGTGTCTTTTTTCCTCTCTGAACCAATTTCTTCAGCAATGGATTTTTTTTCTTTTTAGTAAAAATCTTAGTTTCCAACAAGAAAGTAGGGAAAAACAGATAACAGTTGGGATTTAGAAAACAAACCACCCCCTTAAATCTGTGTATTTCTATGTTGCTCCAAAGGATTTGAAGGAAGACGAGAGACTGATGATAAAGTGCTAGTTTTTTGCCTCATATCTACCTGTTCAGTCATCAGTTATGTGTAATTTTAAATTCCATTGCTGATACTAACACTTCCTGCTTGGTCATCCAACAAATATGATCTCAACGGTGCCTCTTTGACCGTGAAGCAGTTCATGAAACTTTTCAAAGAAAAACAGAATGTACAACTAAGTAATCTTAAATATATGCAACTAGCTAGACTCATTCTGTATTTCGTCACAAAATTGTACTTAATTGTTCAAGGAACAGTTGTGTGCTTGTGAGGAAAAGCTGTTGCCTTTTTTCTGATTAGATTCCTGTAATGTGGGGAATGCAGGTTTAAAGTTTTAAATACGATTCTCTGTCGTAACAGAAAAGGGTTTTGTTTGCTTGTTTGTTTGTTTTAAACTAGATACCTAATATAGATATTCCAAGCATAAAATAAATTCTAAGGTGGTTTTACTTTTCCAAGATGTTTCAGTTATATGGACATATTGATTGATTCCTCACCACCCAAACTGCAGTAACTATTTACACTACACACTGAAGTAACACATTAACAAAAAAAAGAACACCCGAAGAATAATTTTGGCAGAGGAATGTCTGGAAATAACTGCTTTCAAAATATGTAAGCTCAAGTAGTAGTGCTTTAGAAAGGGCAAGGAGCGTCGGAAAAGACATTCTGGGGCATTTCACTAATGAAACAGATCCTGACTTTATGACTTCCTGATCTTCTGATTGGAGTCTGGTTTGTAACAAACTTCAAAATGAATTTGTTGCTTTGAACATTTTTTTAACAGAAGAACTGTGGCTGCTCTGAACAATTAGTTTGCTTTTCTTACCATGAACCACTCCAGACAATTTATTTCTTTATTTTTGAACAATGCAGCTACTAGGCTAGATATATTTCCAAGACTTTGCTCTCCTGTAGTCTTTGAGCCAAATCTAGTAGTTTTTTCCTACTTCGTCTGTCTTGGAGATAATTTTGCATCACATTACTTAGAATGCATTCACAAGACCTCTGCTGGATTCGGATTTTATTAGATGGTTGATGTCAGAGTTAAAAAATGTTCTCGGGAGACAGAAGGATTTTTGGAATGTCCCGGTAGCGTTGACTTTTCTCAACCCGTCTGCAGCATTACCTCATCAGGGCTTCTTAGAGCGGAGCGTAAAACATGTTCAACAATAGCTTGCCTTAAAATCATTACTAACAAAAATTAAAATCTAAATCTGTTTAATAGCCAATAACGTTATTTTAATTAAATTCAGGCCATCAATTTGACTTGCGACTTCGGGCTATTGCTTTGGCACATCAGCAAATAACTGAACGCAATGTTTTAATAAATGTATAAAATAGAGGATAAATGAAATCTAGGCAGGAGATTAAGCTGAGGCATCAGAGAATTAGGGTCTCAGAATATTTGATTTACTCTCCGGATAGGTATTTTTGGTGACTACCTGAGTCTCAAAGTGATAGTAAAACTGATTCACCTGTAGGTGTTTTCTGTGGCTCTGTAGCTGCTTATTTGTGGGTGCTGCTTGCACTATGTGCAAAACTTGCCATCAGGAGGGGTTTTTTCTCATTTAGGGTACTCTGACTTTACACTTTCATTGCCTGGATCTCCATTAGAAAAGGGATCCTAAAATACTCCTTGTATTAATTGAACACAGGAGGAGGAAAAGAAAAATAGATGTGATGGGAAATTGAGATAGCCAGGGTTTTCGCCCCAAATTTGAAATATTGGCAGTGTCTGCTGAAAAACCCAGCCAGCACCATGGGGGAGGCCACGGCGAAGGCCCTGAGAGCCGGGATGACAAGAAGGGACACGGGAGGGTTTGGGAAGCTGAAGCCAGTGGAAATGGAGGCTGGAAACCGGAGTGGGGCAGCAGAGGGGCTGGTGGCTCCGTGGGGCCCCCAATGCTCTCCCAGGTAAGGCCTGGGCACTGCGTTACTGCTGCGGAAAGTGCTGAGAGAGACAGAGTTTTCTCTCACGTTGCATTCCTTCTGTGAGCCCTCCGTGGGGACAGAGGGTGTGTGAGATACTTGTTTTCTGGGACTTACAGCTCAGTTTAACCTAGTGATCATTAAAGGTGCTGGCTTTAGGTCAAAGTTAGCCCATTCGAGATGTTTAATCGTGTAGGTTGTGGGTTTTCTTTTGACTTTCAAATCTTTCCAGTTATTTTATTGTTTTTGCCTACAGCTGCAGTCTTGTTGATGGAGTCGCAGTCAGCGCGTTGCTTTGAGGCCTGCGCTTGGCTGCTTTGAGGGGGCAGTTTCCAATGTGGATGAAGAATTTCCCCCAAACTGCTAGAGATGGTGCCCAAAGCGTGCGCGGCCACCAAAGCGTCTAAGCGCGTCGCTTCTGGGTGAATGTTCACAGGGAAAAATGTCACTTTTTTGATTTAATTCAACATGATTTTTTCAACTTCTATGCTAAGAACTTTCTGTGGAAATCTGGAAAATGCAGGAGCCGTAGCGGGAGGCAGCCCTGGTGGAAGCAAGTGAGGTCGCTCCGGAGGGATGGCAGTGCCCCATGGGGACAAATCGCACCCTCCGCCAGGGACATTCCCCAGACTGTTGCTGTTTCCCGATAAACCCGTGTGGGCTGCAGGGTGCCCTCCTAAGTGAGCCGGGACGTGGAGAAAGGGCATCTGCTCTCATGGGAGAGCGGCCTCCTGTAGCCAGCGCGGCTTTGCTAGCTGCCGGAGGAGTAGAAACTAGTTCAGGTGCCGGATTAATGAATCGGAGTTGTGGAGCTGCTCTGAAGCTTAAATTGGAGGTTTGCATGGAGTGCCGTGGATTTTCAAGCCCGCGTACCCGGCTGCTCGGGCTGCTGTTGGCGCTGCCCTTGGCGCGGGGCTGGCGTTTGCGGTGCCACGAGGCTCCGCGTCGCCGCCTGCTCTCAGCTGATTCTTGCAGGGAGCATCATGTGCCTGTGATGGGGAAGAAAAAATGCAAATGACCTGTGGTGACTGATGCTGCTGGAAACCTTGCGCCTTAAATATTGCTTTTTTTATTTCCCCCCCCCTCAAAAACTGTTTGCAAGGTAGCTTTAGGTTATTTCTTAGGATATTTAGTACCTAAACAGGGACCACATAGCAGAATTCAATCCCGTATGATCTGAAGTGGCTGGGAAAGTGGATAACCAAGCAGGGGCTGGAAAACCCCCTTGGAGGAGGGAAGGATTTGGGAGCACCCCGGCTGCTCGGCCCCACGATGGCCGCTGCCATCCCGGGCTCCGGGCATCGGCGCCGCACGGACACGGCCGTAGCGTCCCCAAAGGGGCGCGGATGTGAGTGAAAGCCCTGGAATTAGAAAGCTTCCAGTGGATCACAACGGGTTTACACATGTTTATTTGCAAAAGGCTTGTGGGATTTAACCTCGGAGCAAGCGAGGGGGGTTTGAGCTGCGCGCGGAAATCGGGCCGTGTCTTTAAGCTACAAAGAGAAGTTTCCTCGCGAAGAGCAGGAGCGAGCGGAGCTGCGAGGCAGCGGATCAGGGAGGCGGCGCAATCCCTGTTGGAGAAAGCGTTGATTTTAGCATGGCAAAACAGCCCAGGGAAAAGCTTTGGTAGCAGCTTGGGTAGCATCGCCCCAGCCCCTCAAACACGCACCAATTTGGACTCACTAATCTTCGAATAACTTCTATGATTTTTTTGATCTTGTAAAACCAAGTGCATCATCCGCCAAAGCGGCTTCTCGCAGCGACGCTGCCCCCGGCCCCGCCGATCCCGGCTGCAAACGGGATCTCCGACCGCGGTTTCCGCGTGGCCCCCGGGGCCGCGGCAGGAGCCGGAGCCGTCGCGGAGCCGGGACTGAGTCAGGCCGGGGGCCGAGGCCCGACGTGACTCAGTGCGCAGGGGCCGGGCATCGGGGGAGCCGCGGGGAAACGGATGGTTTAAATACTGTGAGAATCTTTATCAGCACAGGAAATGACAGCTCATTAAAATACTACCCCCTCCGCCTGTTTAGATCACCGTCTGGAAAAAAATTAACCATTGCAGGTGCGGGCGGCTGGCGCGGGGCTCTGCGCTCGCACGTTTATCGCCCGATCCGGTGACTTTGAGGGAGCCTCTTGCTGCCTCGGAGCTGCCAGGTGGCTTTTTCCTGTGCCCTTGCGGGGGAATGTGGAAAGAAACATGGATTCAACAAGGAGAAAGTCCAGTCTGGGAGACGGGGCTGTCGCGTCTGACTTGTTGGGGGGTTTGCAGGCCCGCTTGGAAGGCGGGAGCCCTGCTTGGGCGCTCCGGCCTGGTGTAAAAATGTATTTATTAAAGGAAGGGAAAAGGGAGGAGGGTCTGGAAGAGACGAGCGCAGGCCGGCGCGCTCCCTGCTCCAGAACGTCGCATTCTCCGGTGCCGCTTAACTGCCTTTTCCCGGGAAGAGATAAGCTCTGGCCTTAGGCCCCGCTCGCGGCAGGGCAGCGGGGGCAGATCCCGTGCGGGAGCAGGGAGCGCACCCGGAATCTTCCCTTTTAGTCCCTTTTTGATCGTTTACTTATTTTTTTTTAAATCTAAACTTAGTGCCTTTATTTTGAACCATTGGACGTTGGAGAGGTTGCCCAGAAAGCAGGATTCTGACTCAAGGTTGTGTCACTTTTCCCACGAGGGCTCGAGGCCGCTCGTGCCCCAGATTCGTTATTAGGTTCTCGTCTCCCTGCAGGTTTTTTTTCATGATAAAGCAGATTTTCAAGGTTTTTTAACCCCTGGTGCTTAATGATTCCTGGTCATCACCACCAAGGGGGTCCTGCTGTGCGCATGAGCCACTGGGCAGAGAGCAAAACACTGAGCTCAAGCGCTCCTAAAATCCTCACCTGCAGTTTCAACTTCCATCCAAGTACATGGAGCTTCAGGGCTGCGTCAAGTTAATCAGCTGCTTCATCACTTGCTGTTTGAGAGCCGATACAAATGAGAAACTTTAATTAACACCATATTAATGTTCCTAAAATGAGGGTCTCCGATGGCAACTTCAGTGTTTCTTAAAATACTTCCTAATTTTAGTGCTTCTCTGCTGGAAAAGTGGGCAGAAGGGCATGTGTTGAGGGTGTTTGTGACATAGGAGAACCTCACATTCCAGGTTGAGGGCTCTGAAACGTTGGCCCGGAGCTGCCGAGCTGCACTTGGGCCTTTAGCAGCTTGTCCTAGTGTGAATGTGCCTGAATTCTGGGCCTTAGATTAGGGGGGTTTAGTAAATCAGAGTAACTTGTGCTCCTACAGATCGCAGAATGAAGTGTCCCTTCAAAAGTGAAGACACTGATGAAATGGTTTAAAAGGGGGTTTAGTAGGAGTGAAAATGTGATTGACTCAAGTACGGTGGGACTGTGTTTTCAGGTAAGCTGCGGAAGGGAAAATACTGCCCAGGCTGATGCTGCTTCTGGTGGCGTTTGAGAAAACTCTGCATGGAGTCAAAAGGCTCTGATGAAAAGAGGCATTTTCCACATTTCCCTCCTGTGATTTCATTACTAGTGGTGTGCATTTATGGTTCAAATATAGACAGTCATAATTTTAAAAGCAAATAAATTGTATATTGTTTACATACTATCTTACTGTAACGGGGATAGATTTTTTTACAGCTGATCCTATCAAGACCTGCACATAGTTGAGATAATTTTAACCAAGAACTTCAATTATTCCGCCTGCGCAGGGCCCTCCTTCCCACGGATGGGAAGTTTTGTTCTCTCAGTGCAACAGGCTACTTTATTTGGATAGAAATCATGTCTCTTAATTAAAAAATCTAAAATACATTTGTTTAATTACAAATACTAGGTAATACTTTTGAAAACAGACTTCAGCAGTGCTTTGTTCAGTGAAAGCAAAATTCTCAATGGGTGTTTTTCATAGTGTTAAAATGTATTTCTTTTTAATGATTGTGTTATTTAAGCTGTGACAAAGGTAGTGCAATTTTGTTTTCAGTCTGTATTGAGTCTCAGTTGCTCCCAAAACATTTGACTTTAGCAGAAGATCAGAATAAATTAAAAACTAAAAGTTTGAGTCTAAGAATGTTAACTGTAAGAACATCCACTTTTTGTGAACTTTCTTCTGAATCATGATTTCTTCAGAAGTGTATATTTTACAAAAAAAAAAAAAAAATCCAAACTCTTTTTTTCCAAGCCTTGCTAAAGCTCCATCCAGGCTCTTTGTTCTCTCACCTCCTCCCGGTTGCTGATTAACTTCCAGATCCAGGAGGAACAGGGACAGCAACGAGGAAGTCACTTCAGTGCTTATTTCCAGAGGCAACTCGGTGACTTCACAGTTTTGCTTTTCTTTTCTTTTTTTCTTTTTTTTTTTTTTTTCTTTTTTTTCCCTTTTGGGCCCAGTCCTGCCCCTGGGCTCTGAGGTTTCTTGCATTTTGTGTCCCCCTTTGGTGGCAGCAGGGTTAGTGAGTTGAATTTCCCTATATGGGGTTACATCTTGCTTGTAATCAGATAAAATGAGACTTTTACATCTGCACGAGGCAATAAGGTGGTTTTCCCTTTTGGTGATTAAAAAAAAGGAGCTGTTTGGTTAAATGGCTGAACTTTGAAAGACTACAAGAAATAACTAAAATGAACCCACTGGGATGAGCTGAGAGAGTTTTGTTTCTAGAACTGTGGCTACATGTAGAAGTTCATTTTCCATGTGTTACTGTGCTACATTTTAATCCTAGTACACTTAAATATATGCACATATTGAATTTTAATTTTGAGTATTAAAGTGTTCACTAGTTTGCAGAGTATTGGAGGCTTCTAGAGACGAGGTCCTGCCTTTTGGGATCTCGCAGCTCCCCAGAACGACTTTCCTGCAGGGAGGGCCGTGCACTTTGGTCTGTCCTCGTGCTTGCGAAAGTGAAAAATGAGCAAAAACCTCAGTGGGGAAATTCTGCAGCGCCGCGGGGTGCGCGAGGGGCTCCTCGAGCTGCTCCTGGGGGCTGCTCTGCTGCTCCGTGTCGCTTGGGCACCAGCTTAGGCCGGTTTTCAGGGCAAAACCTGGAGCAATTAACCGTTCTCATCATTCTCATTAACCGTTCTCAATCATTCATCTATCATCATTTAGATGGTCTTAATTTCATATTCATGCAAAGGTTTAAAAGTGTTACCTTGGAGTGGCTTTTTCGGGCTTCCAGATGTCACTTGAGCGGGGGAGGAAAGGGGAAGGGATTTTTATTTTAAATCTATTTTTTCATCTGTGACTCGTTCAGACCAGCGAGTCATTAGGAGGTTTCTCAGCACAAGCGGAGTCGGATTCTGACGGGTGGGTTGTGAAGAGCTGGAAATGGCTGGTCCGGGTTGCCCCGCTCGTGTGTGAAACATGCAGAGGATGTGCCCTGCTCCGGGAAAGCGGGCACAGCATCCCCACCCGCTTCATCATCGTGCTGCCGAATCATGAGCGGAGCAGGGCTTGGTTTATTTTATTTTATTTTATTTTATTTTATTTTATTTTATTTTATTTTATTTTATTCTTGCAAACATGTTTGGAAAAGAAAATTGCTTGCCCTGGGCTAGTGAAGGGGCTAGGTTTAATGGTATGTAATAGTCTTTGGTCTATGTATTTCATTAGATGGTAGCTCTTGGTTTTGAACTCCCCTTTCAGGGAAAAGGCAATGGATGTTGTGTCCAGTGTAAATAAATACAGTAGAAAATAAAAATAAAGGAGCTGGAGGGGAAATAGTGTTAGCAGGTCGGTAGATGGGGACTGCCCGTCCTGTGGACGGGGCTGAGGGCCCCAGAGCTGCAGCGCGAGGGACCCAAACGGTGCTGGGTGCTGGTTTCGCCACTGCTCGTCCGGACCGAGGGGCCTTTTTAAATTTTTTTTTAATGCTGAAGCTGTGCGGATTCCTCAAGGAGGGGGAAAAAAAGAGGGAAAAGGAGGCAAAAAGAAACAAAACGCGATTTTCCGTGGGGCCCCAACCCGGCTCCGTTGGGGCAGCCC